AGCACAACCGGCTGTTTTGCTGCACTAGCTGTTTGCGAGTTGCACATGTTTGAGACCTATACCTTGCACACTTAAAACGTCACCGCGCGCGACGATCGAAAAGGCAGACTTCAAATCAGGAAGATGCATTTTTCGGAACGTGTGGAGCGATGTGATAGCAGACCTGATTGTCATCACCATCCAAACGACACACAACATGCGGAAATGGGGCCAGCCGCCTTTGGGAGCCCACATCGATTAAACGTATGCATTCAAATGAGTCTGGCAGGCGGATAGGCGGATGTGCACGGGTTGTCTCGCGCCCGCGCGCAAATTCATGATCAGTCTTGTTGAAATCATACACGTCTACACCACTAATGTACACTAGATAGTGGTACTCGATGCCTAGGGCAACAATATTTGCCCTGGTTTGGGCCCCTCAAGGACGGATAATTTTAATGGACAAGGTAATTAAATGGGTTTGGAAAAGATTGCACCTAAGTGATTAGTAAAATAGGTTCGAAATAGAGCAACATTTTTGAGTGACCATTGGTTGCAATAAGCTGGACTATGCAACGATGCAGCCTGCATGGCCCGGTCTGTCTCATCTTAGGTCACAACATTCTGCACGCATTCCATATCGGCTTCGAAAAGCTTGTCAGCTAACCTGTGAAAGCGTGAAACGACAGTGATGGCAGTTTGCGGCATGTCGCGTGCAATGTGAACTGTTAGATCTTGTTTTCCTATTCTAAAAAGTATATATGATACAAATGACTTTAAAATGACATGACTGAAACATTTCCTTTAAAAATTTGCGTTACTTTTCCCAATTTATTTAGAATTGTCATGAGCTACTATTTTCAGTCAAGAGCGGAGGCGGAACGTCTGAGTGGGTGGGGCCAGCCCAGGCTTTTGAGGAAATTAAAAAATATATCTTGATTTCTTCAAAGCATAATCAGATTTGGTTCTCCGTCACCTCAAAGAGCGCACTGAAACAAATACTTTCCCGGTCACAACTGCGTAGGGCTTCCATTGAGGAAACATGTACTTTTTTGCTCCCTTATAAACGTTCCAGTTATGTGAAGGAGAAGGGGCAGGGGCGCGGCAACGGGAAGCACAGTGGCACGTGCCGCTCCCTCCCCCTAGGTCACCAGAGGTCCGTTGGGTCCCTTGGCAGCGACGATCGAAAGGCTAATTTGAGGGTGTGAAGGGTCCGAAAGGCTGGTGAGAGGTCGTTACGGGACCCCGACCCGGAGGACCGGGACCTGAAGTAACAATCAGGAAACCTTTGCACCGATCGAGGTCCGTGGTGTCATGAGGGCCTATATATCGGACACAGACTACCAATGTCGAACAGCCGGGTCTGTGTCGGTCTGGACCCAGGTGGCATATTTTCCACGTGGGGAAAAGACCGGGGCCCTCCGTTGTCACTGACAGCCTCTGACATTGCTTGGAGTCGCTGAAGCAGTGAGCGAGCCCTGAAGCAATGCGGGCCCCTGCTTCGGTCAGGGGCCCGCAGTATCTAACGGGCGATGTGGTGTCGGCAAGAGGACTACGAGTCGGCCAGAGGCACATTTGTTGAACACAAACAGGGACGGGGCCCCGGATGGCAGAGGGCCTCTTGCGTTGGTCGGTGCCTTTTGGCAAGAAAAGGAGCATAGACAACTGACTGAACAGGTCCACGATAGGACAACGGATGGACCCTTTGTCAGTCAGGGTCTCAATACTCAATCCCCTCTCCAGCCCGTTCCGCCGGTGCCTAAAAGCCAAACTGGGGCGCCTGCACGAATTATTGAATTCTCTACGCCGGTAAAGGACCCTTTTGGGTCTTTGAGAGCCCTCGGTAGATCCGTGGCCATATGCACCGGTCAGAAGACCCTCGCGTCGGGGATGGGGCCGGAGTGTGATGTACCCCACAGACTGTTTACCGGTCAGCCAGGAAGCCCGGTCACCACGTCGTCAAAACGTTGGCGCTGTGTATATCGATCTGTAACGTGGGGGCCCTCTCGTTATGGGCCCACACACGGGTCCGCTGTTCAGGACAAGTCAGCGGTCTCTGTGGTATTCTATGTGCCTGAGGGATGGAAACAGAGTCAAAACTTGCAATTGTTTTGTTGTTCTTGTCAAAACTTGGTATTGTATTGTTCCAACACATTTTTCAGCATCAATTAGTGAAACATAATATGAAATGGTTTCGGTCAAGTGCGCTCACAATCTTCAGGAGGAAAGACCCTGATGCCCATCAATGCAGTTTTAATCAAACTGCAAGACGTTGGCCACCACAGCCAACACCAGGCCGTGGGTGGCGGGAGCGTGAGAGCGACCTTGTTTTGGGCAATGACGCACCCGACGGTCTTTTAAAATCAAAGCACATGGTTCAAAGGTTAGATTGGAATATTTGCGTCACCTGCGCAATTTTAAGATGAATCCTCTGAACGAATTGGCAATTATTTAAACGAACCGAAAACCATACATCTTACCATCGCATTAAGAGTTCGTGGTGCTGTTGATTATAATCCCTTCAAGAAACAATCTTGAAATTGCGCAGGTGTAATATTCGGCTCGGATTACCTGGGGGATTATCGCAGCACCTAATGTTCGTAACCCCTAATGTATCACAACACCTAATGTTCGAAACACCCAATATATCACAAGGCCTAATGTGCATAACCTCTAATATGTCATAACCCCTAATGTATCATAACCCCTAATGTTCGTAACTCCTAACGTATCACAAGGCCTAATGTTTATAACCTCTGATATGTAACCCCTAATGCATCGCTACACCTAACGTATCATTAGGCCTATTGTGTCAAATCAACTAATGTTCCACAACTCCTAATGTATTGCAACTCCTAATATATCACACCGCCTAATGTATCGGAACGCCTAGTGTATCATAACCACTTGTGTTTCATAGCGCCTAACGTATCATAACGCATAATGTTCGCAACCTCTAAAATATCCCAACTCCTAATGTATCATAACACCTAATGTGTCAAAGCACCTAGTGTATCATAACCCCTAACGTATCGTAACCCCTAATATCAGCTGACGACGCTGGCGAGGGCTGACGATTTTCAACCCTTTCGACCGCATTTGAACTTCCACTGAAGTCTACCAGATTATGCGGGCATTTGTGGCGCATACAGTACTGGAAGGCGAGGCAAGCTGGGCGGTGTCCGAAAACCATTCTTGATTCTTGTCATAATCATTTTTGTGCTTTCCAGGCTGATGGGCTCTGAGAAGTGTAATGGGGTAATAGAATATCAGTATGGATTGATGAAAAATCCGTTCTCAGCGCCCATTGTTTGAGGCTCATAAGGAAAAGTAGAGGGTGACATGGAAGTGAGGTAGCTGGAAGGCAGGGAGCTGGTTAATCAGTATTTGAACCTGTCACGCTTGTCACAGTTCTTGCACGGAT